GCTGGCGGGTGCTGGTCGGGTGTTTCTGCAGAAGTGACCTGAGAGGTGACGACGGTGGAGGGAGGGGGAGCCCAGCCTCACCCAGTCCGGTCCCAGGGGTGCTGCGAGTGCTGCGGGCTCACATCCCCCTGCCTTCACAGGGCTGGGGCTCACTGTCATCTCTCGGCACAGAGCTTGATGGCGGGATCTTGCGAGATCAGCAACATCTTCTCTAACTACATCAGCGCCATGTACCAGCCAGATGAGGTGCAGCCAACCTTGGACATGCTGGGACATCTTGGGGACGACAACACCCTGGGGCTGAGCCTCCCCACCAGCCAGCCCTTGACACAGAGCACAGGTAGGACCAGGGGAGCGGGGGTGTCAGCCGAGGGGTTCACTGCCCCAGCACACAAGGGCAGCGAGACAGTGCAGCTGGCTTGGAAGAGCATTGCAAGGTCCTTGTCCCACTGGGGCAGGTCAACAGCTTCCACCATGCCTCAGTTTCCCCAGGGGTGTGTTGTCTAAAAGGTTGCTGTAGGTGACCCTGGGTAGCACAAGTTGCTGCTTCTTGGAGCACATCAGGTGAGGGAATCATTGCCCTACTCCTGCACATCCCAGGGGACGGGCTGCCAGGGCTCACCAGGAGAGGAGTTTGGAAGTACAGTCCTGGTGACAAGGTTCCACTCTGCCAGTGGGACCATCGTGGGATGGCATGGGGAATACACCACCAGGGCAGGGCAGAACCTGGCATGGACAGGACACCAAAACCAACAGTGGGGGGACCGTCAGGTCATTGCTGACACCCAGGACAGGAGCAGAGCAGAGCGAGGTGACCTGGGAGCAGACACTAAGCACCTGTTAGTCCCGTAACCCTCCAAGCACAGGACCTGCTGTGCCCCCCATGATCACCACGGGACCAGAGCTGGTGCCCAACTACAGCCGGCAGCCCATGCGTGGCACACGGTGCTGGCACGGCCACCCTGCCCCTGAACCCCGCTCTCCATCCCTTGCAGACAAGCCAGAGTGGTTCAGTGAGCTCCCGTACTTCTGGACCAAGGTGCAGGTGCTGGAGTGGATCAGCTACCACGTGGAGAAGAACAAGTACGACGCCAGCTCCATCGACTTCTCCTGCTGCAACATGGATGGGCATGCACTCTGCCACTGCACCAGGGACCAGATGCGCCTCATTTTTGGGCCCCTCGGGGATGAGCTCTATGACCGCCTGCATGAGATCAGTGAGTGTCCCAACATCCGCTTCGTCTCCAGGCCTGGCGGCTTGAAGCATGAGGCTGAGAAATCCCACCAGCGCAGGACCCGCTGCTTCCCGGGCACTGCAGAAAGCTGCCTGGGAGGCGTTGCACTGGGGAGGCTGTGCAGGGGGGGACTTGGGGGAACAGACCAGAGTCCAGGCAGGGCTGGGCTCAGCTCCCAGTATGTACCATTCCCTCTATACCAAATAGGCATCGCTAATCCCAGTCCCTCGACCCCTGCAGCTTCTGATGAACTGAACTGGATCATTGACTTGCTGGAAAAAGAGGATGCAACTTCCCAAGAGATCTTCATGGACTCCAGTCACCTGGGTAAGAGCAGGGCCCTGGCCAAGCCTTTTCCCCAGGGACCACGTGCTGGTTCAGGCAGGGCTAACCCCTTCTTCCCTTCTCTACCCCTTCCAGAGCTGGGAAATCCCTGTGCCAAGGACTCCCTGGAGGACATGAAGCCCACAAACCCTTTCCTGACCACAGATGCCATGTCCCCAGGCAGCTCCGATGTCTCAGGTCAGTGTTTTGCCCAGCAAAAAGCTCTTTTCATTTGTGCTGATCTGGGAGATCAGTGGGGAACTGCACCGCTGCCAAGGGTGGGTTTGGGTCTTGCACCGGGCTGCTTTCAGGGGCCTGGGGTGGGAGGGGGAGTCATCTCCAGATGCCAGCAGCTGGTGGTCTGAGCCCTGTCCCTTTGCTTCTCAGGGCCTGTGATGTCCCACAGCCCCAACTCCCAGGACTCCGGTGGAAGTGACCTCGACCTTGATCCCATGGAAGCAAAGCTCTTCCCTGACGGTGAGTTGTTTGCTTCCTGCCAGGACCTGGGAGAGCAGGGCTTGCTCCCAGGCACTTCCAGCAGCTATGGAGCACATCCCATCTGGCAGTGATTTAGGGAAAACACCTGAACATCCATCCTCACACTGGGAAGGAGGGAAGGGGCTGGTTTTCTGTATGCCCTGGGTCTGTTTCTCTCCATTGAGCACGGTGGTGGTGGTACAGGCTCCGGGGAAGAGCTGGAATAGCCAGAGCAGCAGTGAGCTTGGTGGGAAGGGGTAGGTGTTGGCAGGTGAAGGCTGCAGCCAGAGATCTTGGGCACTGAAAGCTGTGTTCAGTACTGATCCCAGCTGGCAACGATACAGGGAATACCAGGGATGCAGGGAAGCAGCAAGGTTTGGGGAATGAACAGCGTGCTGCCCTAAGCATGGTGGCACAGATGAAGGTGGAACGAGGCTGGAGGGAATGGGGAGATCTTGCTCTCAGGGGGATGGTTCCCTAGGGCCTGAAAAGAAGGTACAGCCCCAGATCTCTTCCCCTACCCCCAACCAGCTTCTCCCTGTGCTTCTGCTCCTGAGGAGGACATCTCTGTGCCCAGGGAGCGGAGAGATGCAACCCAGTGGGCTCTTCTGCACAGGGTAACGTGTCCCCTTGCCTGTGTGCACAGATGGCTTTGCAGGGAGCAAGAAAGGGGACAGCAAACACGGCAAGCGGAAACGAGGACGGCCCCGAAAACTCAGCAAGGAGAGCAGAGACTGCCTGGAGAGCCGGAAGAGCAAGCACTGTACGTGGACCCTCCAGCCTGGGAGCTTGGACTGCCTCCCCTAGCGTGGCTGCATGGGGGGGAGATGGGAGGAAGGGCCATGTCCACTGGCCGTGCTCCTTGGTGGGGGGGTTAGGGAAATCCAAAGTGCAGGGACCCCCAGGATCTTCCCTCCTCCACAGCTTGCTCTCCTCTTCCAGCCCCAAGAGGTACCCACCTGTGGGAGTTTATCCGGGACATCCTGATCCACCCGGAGCTGAACGAGGGGCTGATGAAGTGGGAGGACCGGCAGGAGGGTGTCTTCAAGTTCCTGCGCTCGGAAGCAGTGGCTCAGCTCTGGGGCCAGAAGAAGAAAAACAGCAGCATGACCTACGAGAAGCTGAGCAGAGCTATGAGGTGAGTGCCTTCCCCTGTCCCCAGGGGGGGACCTGCCCCGCAGGGCTGGGTCAGACCCACCAGGGCTCAGCCTTGATCCACCACAACAGCTCCCCAGCACTCAGGGCTGCATTGAGAGCCCTGATTCCACCTTCATCTCCTCTAGGTATTACTACAAACGAGAGATCCTGGAGAGAGTTGATGGGCGACGGCTGGTGTACAAGTTTGGGAAGAACTCCAGTGGCTGGAAGGAGGAGGAGGTGCTCAACAGGAACAAGGAGCTGTAGGAATCCTGGATGAGCTGGGGTCTGGCAAGCCCCTCGGGGCCAGCCCTGAGCTGGGCTCCTTGGCAGGAAACTTTGCCTGCAGCTGTTTCTGGAAGCTGCTGCCCCGTGCAGGCTGTGAAACCTGGACCCTTCCATGGGCATGCTCATGCATGCTGGTGACTGCCGGCACTGAGGTGTTTAAAGCTAATATTTTGGCTCTGGTGGGTTATTGTAAACCGTTATGTCCCTCACTGGATTCGTACCTCCAACTGGAGTCACAGTGACTTTGCTGTTTCAAAGCCTGGACAAACGCAAAGGGGAAGAGACGTTTGAGTAGCAGCTGGCACCACAGGGAGAGCCCAGCAGGTCTCCTGCTGTCACCCGCCTCGTGCCTGGGCAAAGGGACAGCATCACCATCTCACCTGTGATCGGACAGACCTTGTCCCAGCTATGAGGTCCTCCCTCATCACTGCTCGCATCGTGCTGAACGTGCCCACCGTCCTGTTTGCTCTGCTTGGGATGGGTGAGGCCCCTCTGTGCAGCAGTCTCGCTGTGTGGCACCTGCGGAGAGAAGACGGGAACATCGTGGAGCTTCACCTGGCTCTGGAGAGCCCTCAGAGGGGAGAGGACTTGGGACAATAGGGCCACTCTGCATTTTCAACCTGGCTGCCTGTATCTAGAAACAGGCCTTTTCCCCCAAAATAGCTTCTAATTTATGTAGGGCCCTCCCCAAAAAGCACAGAATGAATGTACAGATATATTTTTTCATGAGTATGGTGTTCCCATGTGAGAGTGTGCACTGTAGGGCACATGTGTCTTGTGGCAGGTGGTGATGCTCAGCTGGACTGAAGCAATGTCACGGGGGCACAGACTGGCTCTGTGTCAGCCACAGGAGGGGGATCCCAGCCCAGCCAGGCACCCAGCAGGTGCATGTGGTTTCCTCCTTTTCAAATGGGAACATAAGAGGAATAAATTGTTGTTTGGTTGGGGTTTTTTGTACCTCCTTGTCATTTTCGTTTTTCTTAAAGACATGGTGGGGAGCAGATTCGCGTTACCTGGGATGTCCCATTGCATGAACCCCATCTGCCACCATCCCTCCTGCCTGCTGTGGCCTGGACTCACCTGGTCATCCTGGCACAGGGTCATGGGGTCTTCCTTAGGGTGAGGTGGGCTGTTTGTCCCTAGGCTGGTGGGAATGAGATCTGGAGCCTTGCCTCAAAGCCAGCCATGCAGGGACATCTTACACTCACTCCCAAACCTTGGCCCTTTTGATGACCCTTCAGAAATTCAACCCTGGCACTCATCTTTGCAGGAGGGCTTTCCTGGAGCACTGTCTCCAAGCCAGAGATTGCCAGTCGCAAGCTGCTGGGAAGCCAATTCCTGGGTGGTCTGGTGGGGGGGTTCTCTCTCAGCTCCCTCCACATTAAGGTCTCCAGCCTGGTTGGGGTTCATGGGCTGCGGGAGGTCCTCCAGCCCCTCTGTGGCCAGCAGTTTCTGAGACAGGGAGGGACATCAAGAAGAAGCACAGGCACTGTAATATGTTTAAGGTTTGCTCATCTTCCAGTCTGGCTATTTGGGAGCCTCTCCTAGGACCTGGGTGGTTCTCAAGGACCACATCTTCAAGACCGCTAAGGCCTGGCAGTGTGGACAGCCCAAACACATCACCTATCCCTTCTTGCTCAATGGCAACACCAGCCTTCCTCAGCTAGGCCAGCCATGAGGAGGCAGGGAGGGTGCCCCAGGGATGCTGGGAGGATCACTCCAACCTGCAGGATATGTCTGTGGAGCAGCAAGCAGGAATTCATGGGGATGGAGGCCAAACAGGGCCTCATATGTTTCTGTCACGAGCTTGGCAAACAGTGGTCCATGCATTGCTCCCAGTTGGTGTGCATTGCCTGCATTTCATGACGAGTCTTTCTGAACACTGCTGGGTACCAGAGGGTCTTGTGGCCACCCTAACCTCTTGCTGGTGTACAGGACCCTGCTGAATGTGGGCATGCAGAGGATAGCACTGCTCAGCTCCTGTTCATCCTCAAGGGGAAAGGCCCTGGGACCTCTTGTCTGAGCTTGGAGTTTTACCAGATGTGGGATGCCTGGGTGAAAGCAATGCCACATCCTTCTGAATGGTTTCAGCCAGTACCTGGAGTGACTAAGTTGGGGAACCAGCCCACAAGTGGAGGGGTGAGGGGAGTTTTTGAGCCGCCTCTAGGCAGTAAGGGTGTGTTGTAAAGCCTGAGATGCCTTTTTGGCAGGAGGACCCAGCCATTGTTCCCTGACTGCCCTTCATTACTGCAGGAGATACGGCACAGTTAAAAATCACCCATCCCACACTTGCAAGAGTGTGACCCGATGCAAAAGAGCGAGAGAAAGAAGTCCTTCAAAGCAAAGTCTCACATGGACCATCTGCGCTGTCTCCCCTGGGGTGTCCTGGCTGCAGCAGCTGGAACCACTTCCAGTCTGCCTGGCCTCAGTTTGAGAGCAAGTCTGGTGGCTTAGAGCATCCCCACTGCCGAGCCGCCTGGGGAAGCTCAGGCCCCTTGTCCCGGTTTGGCTAAAACAGGGCTAT